ACACTTCAACACAGCCCAGCTCCAGAGGTCCAAGAGGCTGGAGAGGTTTCCAGACTTGTCAGGATTTCAGAGACGTCCAAACTCATGCCTTCTGCTGCTGCTGCTTCCCAGTGTTCAGACATTCCTGTTCAGAGGACTAAAGCATGGAGGCATTGCCTCCTTTATAGAGCTGCAAATAAAATATCCCCTTGAGAAGGTCTCCCTGGTGAAGCAACACATGCCTTTCATTTCACTGCCTCTGCAAAGCACTTTTAAAGCTATCCCGGAGAGCCCTCCCTGGGCCACAACGTGCAGGCTGCCTGCTCCCCAACCCCAGCAGGAGGATAACACACAACCACATTTCCCCCTTCCCCCTTTTAATCAAGAGCATTAGAGCATGCAGGCAGTGGGGGAAGGGTGCCATTTCTCCAGATGGTTTTCCAGAACCACCAAGGGCTCCATTCAGAAGGAAATGGAACAGGGTTTCCCAGCTCGGGACCTTAAAATTGGTGTGTTTTCCCAATGTCTCAGAGCATGCTGACATCACTTTCCACTGAACTCTAAGAGGTTATGAGTCTGTCTCACACCAGAAAGGAGAGTGCACCTGGGATTGCGTGCCCACGCACAAACAAAATTAGCTTTCCCTCCCCATTATGGGGGTGGGGGGGGCTAAACTACCTGAGACTGGGCCTCGCAAAAGATTAATGCAAACTCATAAAGTTATGTGCGCGGAAGATTTTTTTTCTCTTGGCTCTGCCCGGTTCCTATCTGTCTTTGTTTGGGAAAGACTATGGTGCTATGGCGAGGATAAAAACCAGTTCGTTTACATGCACCCCCTCCAGGCCACACCCAATCAAAGTTGCCTGATTTCCAGGAGAGTCACTGCCCTTTGGCACATGATGCCAACAGCTGTATTCATCCCTCAAGATCTGTCCCTTCGAACCCAGAGCACAGAAACCTCACCCTCTGGTGGCACGTTCCACAAGTTGGTGCCTGTCTGCACAGCTGTTATGCCAGTAGACAACAGCTTTCAGTTAAGGCTGTCTGTTGGAGGTACCCTGTTCAGGTGTTGGGTTCCGTGCCTCATCGAGTAGTTGAGACTCTCTGACAGTAGCCTCTCTAAATGAACTGAAAACGAAGCTTAGAGGAGTTACGCAATAATGTGTCCACCAAGACGATGGACAGGGTTAGGATCCTGGCATCTAAATCTGAAAAGGGAAGAGTGGACGCTAAAATCCTGGGAAAACCAGGTGCTAAGTCCCCAAGCAGTGCCATACGGAAGCTGTGATGCCCCAAAGACAAGTATATAAACAGCTTGGTAGATGAAGGAAGGCTGGGAGGAGGACTTCATGAAGGCTGGGACATTTGAGCTTGGTCTCCGATGATTGGCAATGTTGGCAAGGTTGACAAAGAACTATGTAAGCAGCCGCTGTGTTGTTCAGTGAAGAGTAACAAGGGTGTATGGGTATGCTTGGCACAGACCTGATCTTTTCCAAATATTGCCATGCGTGTTTGATGAGAACATGGAACCCACGGGCACAGAGGACCAACTCTGTATCGGTCCCTCCTCCAGCAGGTAGATGCTTAAGCTCAGCCTTCCGCAGGCCAGACTTTATCCCACAAGCACTTTCTTCTAGACTGGAATTCCTCGCAAGGATTGCCGCCACAGACCTTGCACACAAGGAAGCCTGCTTTGAAGCGGACTGACGCTTTGCTGCGGCCAGTCATGTCTGTGCCCGACATGGCTAACTGAGGCTCTCCGGATTAGACACAGCCTGAGTCACACAGGCTTCGGCTGTGTGCGCAGCTCGGCATTCAGAGAGTCAAAGGACACGAAACAGAGTACACACATCATGTTACAAAAACGCAGGGCAAGTCAACTCGGAGACTGGATTTGCTGTCTGTGTTCTCCTTAAAGATGAGGCATGCATATCTTTGTTGAGGCCACGCCTCATCCAGGACTTGGCTGATAGTACGCCCTCCTCAGGAAACATTTGAAGAACTGGCATGAGTGTAAGACACTGCTGCAGGCTCAGGGTTCCCACGGTGAACATTTACAACCCCATGGACAACTGCGCCCCAGAGAGCTCCCAGTATGTCCTATGGAATAAGAACACGCTCCCACTGGCTTGGGTCCCAAGAAGCTAAACAAGTCTCGGCAGATGTGCTCCCGCACATCCACTCACGCGTACACTCAGGAAATGTGAGAGCTTGGGATAAATTAAGTCTAGTCGGGCAGAGGTCAGGAGCAGTAAGACAAGTCCTTACTCTTGGACTTGAAGCAAGGTCAAGGTCCTAGGGGCGGGCTCAGCTTTTTAGCCAAAGGCTAAAAGGACAGCCTTAGTCCCCCCACACCTCAGCAAAAACAATCTTTAGGCATCACAGTGTAGAAAGTAAAGTCTGCCCTTCTGCACCCCCGTCAACTTTCTGAGCCTCGCTCCGGTGCCGCCCCCCCCCTCTCCTCTGGGCAGCGGATGCCTTCAGAGGGTGACTGACATTCCCGGCTGTCCTGCTGAAGTTCCGTCCCTGGAACATTGTTTTGTGGTGAGTCATTGACACTGCAGAAAGAGTTTCAGGCAAGGTGTCGCATCTGTAGGAGTACGTGTGCCTAGCGCACCACTTTCAGAAGGAAAAGCACTGGGTGAGAACTATTAAAGCCCTGAAAATAACCAAGGCGTGTGTGCACACACACGCACGTGCACACGCACACTCACACACATGCACACGCGTGCACCCTCACACACACGCACACTCACGCCCAAGCACTCATGCACACCAACAACTTGCCACTGACCCAGCCAACAGATAGCAGAAAGCCAAGCTTGCTCCTCACTCCCAAGGCTGTGCTTGGGTTCTGGGAACCCAGACCTTAGACACCATCCTGGAGCAGGGCTTGCTGAGGTCGTTAATTAGACGAGGGTGAAGCATCCGATTGGATGGGACAGAGCACGTCGGCCCCAGCTTCAGTTCACACGCTGGTGGAACAGCGGTGACTTGGGAAGATCCAAAGACGCAGTTACCATTCTCGAGGCAGAACCCCCTCCCCGTTTGCCTTGGAGACAGCACTCGGTGAGTCTATGTTAGAGCAGTCGTTGCCGGTCAGCTTGGGCCCATCTGTTCTTAAATATGCCTTTGGCTTTTACTACCACCATCCCCATTACTAAACCGGGAAACTGTGCTGTGGGTGACTTCACTGGTGCAGGTGAGGGGGCCGAGTTGGGAAAGGCGTCATTCAGTCAAGCTGATCGCTTCACTCGTGACCGAAGCTGTGCACGAGGCCCAGGAATAAGACAAGCTTGGTTTGCTCAGTATGAATACGTAACTCTCCCTCCCCCTCTTCTTCCCTCCCCTCCTCTCCCCTTCCCTCCACTCCCCGCCCCTCCTCTCCCCTCCCCTCCTCTCCCCTTCCCTCCTCTCCCCGCCCCTCCCCTTCCCTCCTCTCCCCTCCCTTCCTCCCCCTTCTCCCTTCCTCCTCCCTGCCTCTCTCCCTCCTCGTTTCTCCCCTTCTCGGTGTGTTTTATGAAGATGGGTGAAGCCTAGCGGATCAGATCTTCGTCCTTCAGGGAAAGACACAGCCGTGGCAGGCTTGGTGCTGACCCGTGGGATACAAGGGGGAAATGATAGAAGCTGTTTCTGCTCGTTGCTCAGCTTCCTCTGGGTTAAGCTGTGGTGGGAAGAGTGTGGGCATAGCTTCCTTGTCCTGTAAAGACAATGCTGGGTCTGATAGCGGAAGCTTGGAGATAATCGGGATAGATCTCCTTAGCCACAAAGGCCAGCTACTTGGTTCCCTCTCTGAGGCCACCTGCTGGGAAGGCAACAGGCCTAGACTCATGCCCACAATTCTGACTCCTTCAGTTCAGGTGTTCAAATGCCAGCTCTTCTCAGAAGTTACACGGCCGAGGATCCAGCCCTGATTGCCCATGCTGCGGCTTAGGGTGGGGACTCCCTTCCCCCTAAGGGATGGGGAAAACGGGCGATCTTAATCATATGTGGCTCTGAAGAAGCCGGCCTCCCAAGAGCTGAACAAAATAATGGCAGCAGAAGGCAGAGGAAGGCAGGGGTGAGGGGACAGGAAGAGATTGGTCAGGGAGTACCACATCGCAAGGCAGCTCTTAGGATGGTGGGATCTTGGTTTGTATCACACACCAGGGCGACAAAGGCTGGCAATATTCCATTGCCTACACCTGGGTATATGGAAAGGGGGACGCCGTAAACATTCACGTCACAAAAATATAACAACTCGCGTGAACTGATGATGGACACGCCGGACACCAAACCCTACCCACGCCTGCAAACACCACACTCTGCGCCATAAATACGCACACTCACCGTGCGCTGGTTGCAGCAAAACACGGGTCCTTAGACCAGTCCTCAGCCCCGCAAGAAGGAAACAAATGAAAACGTTTTCAAATTTTGCATCCTGTGAGTTCAGACTGAGAGAATGTGATGCTGGGACCAGAGCAGCTAAGAGCGTGTGTTGCTCTCTCAGAGAGCCCTGGTTCTGTAGCTCCAGGGCCAGGGGATCCAGCGTCAACCTCTGGCCTCTGCAGGCACCTGTACCCGTGTGCACAAACCCACAAAGACACACATGCACACACATAATTTTAAAAAAGTAAATCACTTTTAGCTGGGCGGTGGTGGCGCACGCCTTTAATCCCAGTACTCGGGAGGCAGAGGCAGGCGGATCTCTGTGAGTTCGAGGCCAGGCTGGACCGACAGCCTCCAAAACAATACAGAGAAACCCTGTCTCATAAAAAAAACAAAACAAAAAAAAAAAGTAAATCACTTTTAAAAGAGCATGCGATGGCATTGTCTTTCACGTCTTGCCCTTTCTAAGGAAGATGAAACTTGAAACAATGGGGAATATAAAATGGGAGGTCATCTCAACATATCCAGTTCTAATCTCTTGCCATTTGGAAGAGCTTGCCAACAGAGAACACCGACCTCGGTAGCCCCTGTCCCCTTTCCCCTCGCTCCCTCCCACATGGGTTTTGTTTTGCATTGCTGGTGTCTGAACCTAGGGTCCCACGTATGCGAGGTGAGTGCCCTACCACCAGCTATGCCTCAAGTCCTCCCTTGGCTCCTGGCAGAAGGGAGGTTCCAGACTTCCCTGGCGCAGCACGGTGAACCCCTGAGCACTGTTGTTTTAATTGTTAGCAAACATCAATAGGGCCAAAGACTCACCTCACAGCCGTCATGAACCTCTCCCTCTCTGGGTTGGTCTTGCCCAAGATGCCGGTCTCTTGCTCTGGGCTCTTGAGGCTGTGTAAGTTTCGCATAGTGTGAAGACAAGAGGAGTCATGGCTTGCCCTCAGCCTTCCTGGTGTGAGGAAGATAGGAAGTAGGCCTTTCCTCTGCTCCCTGCCTTGCGGCCTGCCTGGGGGAGCATCGGTTATTCACCTGTCAAGCTAGTGACAAGGGCTAGAGCCACAGGCAGGGTCCAGCTGGATCCTACTTCGGATGCTGACCCTTTGGGGTTGATATAGAAATCCCGGGTCTTTAGTCCTTGAGTCTAAGTCACCAATTCCAGGGGCACCGAGTGCCGTGGCTCATTCAGTAGCTCACTGTTCACTTCTAGCGAATGCTTTGGAAAATAATATTTCACGTCGTTGCAGACATGTTCCTTTTCTGCAGACACTGGAAATCAGTTCTCGGAAAAGCAAGTTGGACAGAGCTTGGAGTCCTCCTGTCCACTCACCAGTCCAGGAATTAAGCGGCAAAAATGAGATCTCTCACTACACACGTGCAGGACAAGAAAAAACAAAAACAAAAACTGTGAATTCACAACTCTCAAAACCGCAGGACAAGCCTGCAGTTCTGAACACGCAGCAGGAAGGGTGGAAATATCAGACAAATGTACCCCACTAGCAAGAGACTGTAAGCATCAAGGGTGACAGTCAGGTGCCTGCCTGATCCTCACGGTGACACAGATACCAGAGACAACAGCAGACAACACACCAGATGTGTTCCTTCTGGATTCCTCACAATGGCACCCCACAGGACCAGCTGGCATCCTCAAAGTGCTTTCAGACATTGTTATCAAGTAAATTCAGAAACTCCGTTACTCTTTTCCTTTTCTGTTTCTGGGACACCCTTGATCTTAAGTCTTTACTGGGTCCTGCCTTCAACCAGTCATTTCCTGTCTCTGGGCACCGATTTCCTCTCTTATTAAACGAAAATGTTACCAAGTTATTTCAAAGATATCATTCTGCCTTTAACACCCTCTTAATAATATGGCTGTTTTTTCAAACATGTGGCCATTATTTCCAACAACAAGATTTTAATTACGCACGCCACTAATTACACAAAAGTGAAAACATTTTTAAAACAATAAAAAAGCATGTAACTTGACATATTTATCCTAATCCCAGCGCCCTCCCCCCCATTATAAGCAAGCTTATTGTTTTGTTTTGTTTTTTTATTTTTAAAGGGTTTTTAATGACATACTTTGCTCATAGAAAATATACAGTCCTGTTTTACTTGTTTTCCCAATGAAAAGTCCACCACGAAACATATCATTCTGCAATCCATTGTCTGCATGTCAGCAAAGGCAAATTCTCCACAGCCTGCAGTGGACCCCATCAGGCTTGTAGCCTGGCTAAAGCTCACCCCCTTCTCTGGAGTTTTCTTGTGTTCATGGCACTGTGTGCCAAGGTGGGTAGTGAAAGATTAACTTCCCGGGTCACAGACAGGAGTTCTCAACCATTAGGGAATGCCAAATTGTCCTCACAAGTGTCGTTATCGACATTGCTGATGGGGTGGGTGCCGGCGAGATGACTCGGTAGGTAGTGCGCACTTGCCAGAGACACCTGAAAACCATCCCGGAACTCACATAAAGAAGGGCGGCAAAGCCATCCTCTGGCCTCCACATGCACCTGGTGGCACTCGGACGCCTCACATACGCCCCCCCTCTCCTCTCTCTCTCTCTCACACACACACATACACACCACATACGCACACACACATACACACATTCTCTCTCACACATGCATACATGCATTCTCTTCTCTCTTTCACACACACAAACATGCGCACCACACACACACACACACGCACACATCACACACACTCACATACACACCGTACTTACACACATACACGCGCACACACACATACACACATTCTCTCTCTGTCTCTCTCACACGCACACACACATTCTCTCTCTTACACACACATGCACACATCACAAACACTCACATACACACACGCACACATGCACACACACTCACATACACACCACACACACACACACACACGTGCTCGGTCACACACACACACACCACCACCACCACCAGAAGCATCACTAATAATGACAGACAGAAAGGTTCGGAGATACACAGTCACTGGGCTGCACTCCGGCCGACTGGCTGCCTCTGCTCTTGCCTGAGAGTCCTGAGATGAGGTGGAAGAGACCCACTCTCCCCACACGTGCAGGTCGAAGGGAAACAAGACCCTGTGAGGGAGATACTGGCGGCATGGGCGGAATGAAATCTGGGGGTCCCTAGGCAGCTCGAGAAATGTGAGCCTGGCCTGCCACAGACCCCCACCTGCATGCGAACGCCAGAAGAAGCCGCCCCGAACTGCCCCAAGAGACACATTTGTCTCCAGGAACAGGCCTGTTTCACAGGAGAACATGAAAAGCAAGGTCCGTATCAGCGCCGCACGGATCATGGACCGGGATGTTCCAGCCAGGAGTGAGTCACAGGCTGGTCAGGGCCTCCCGACTGTAGCTGGGTACCTAATAAGGTCGGGCGTGCAGCTGTGGACACTCCTGGATGCGTGCCACTCTCCATCACGGCGGCACCCGGCCACGCCGCTGCAGTTAGGGGCTGTCGGCGTGAAGGGTCCCTGTAGAGTCTCATGCAGTAGCTGGCCCTCACTGAGGAGACTGTTGAGGCGGTCAATAAGTGCTGCTATTTGCTCTGCAGACCTGAGATGTTCACTTGACTCTGCCATTTACTGTACAAAACTGCACAAAGTTAAAACAGCAGTAGAATAATGGGCTGTCGGTTGGGTTCTAATGGTTCTGCAGGTGTGAACATTCCTCTTTTGAACTATTCTGAAGAAGGAATGATGACATTCATCTTGAGGTAAGTCCCAAGAGCACCACGGGGCTGAGAGCAGGGTTCTCCCTGATGGGGTGGTTAGCCACGAGAGGACCGGTGACAGCTCTCCTCCTTATGTTGACCTTTGGCAAACAGGCGACAAAACCTTCTTTAAGGACGGCAGGCAGGGCACGTCTGATGAAGCTACCCAGAATGACAGTGTCTTCCACCCTTCCACTAGAGACGTGCCTGTTGGAGACTTGACACGTTGGCCGGGGTTCCGCAGCCCGCCACAGACTCTACCACAACCTTCCGCCAAATGGGAAGATGAGTGGAAAAGAGAGGGGAATGGATGACGTCTGTATAGCGATAGCCGAGGACGTCCTCTGGCCTCCCCACACATGTGCACACACATGCATACATGCATGTTCTCACACCACACACACACACACACACACACACACACTAAATAAAAGAATCAGATTTTAAAATAGGCTCACATGAGCAGGACATAGTTAGCTCTCAAGAAATGATAAAAATTAACTATTCAGATGTCACTTTTTAGTAGGTAAATTAGTTAAAAGTGTATTATCCACCCTCCCCTATATACCCACTGCCTCATCTCCAGATCTGTGAATATAGTAAGAAAACACCCCCCAAAATAACTAAATACAAGAGCTTTAAGTACTGCTGAAGAGTTAGTATTTACATCCCATTGATTGTAGGACACCGGGTTAAAGAGACGATCTAGAAACATCAGCTTAGAGTTTTCTTCACCTCGTTCTCTTACTGTTCTTGCCTTTAAACTTTGTTTATGGAGATAATATTTTAAGGTTCATTTATTCTGTTTTTATCTATTTATTTGTGAGAGGTGAGGGAAGGGGTGTGCTGTGGGACATGCATGAGGTAAACTATGGTACATGTGTGAGGTAAACTATGGTACATGCGTGAGGTAAACTATGGCACAGGTGTGAGGTAAACTATGGCACATGCGTGAGGTAAACTCTGGTACATGCGTGAGGTAAACTATGGCACATGTGTGAGGTAAACTATGGCACATGCGTGAGGTAAACTCTGGTACATGCGTGAGGTAAACTATGGCACAGGTGTGAGGTAAACTATGGCACAGGCATGAGGTAAACTATGGCACAGGCATGAGGTAAACTATGGTACATGCGTGACGTAAACTATGGCACATGTGTGAGGTAAACTATGGCACAGGTGTGAGGTAAACTATGGCACAGGCATGAGGTAAACTATGGTACATGCGTGAGGTAAACTATGGCACATGTGTGAGGTAAACTCTGGTACATGTGTGAGGTAAACTCTGGTACATGTGTGAGGTAAACTATGGCACATGTGTGAGGTAAACTATGGCACAGGTGTGAGGTAAACTATGGCACAGGTGTGAGGTAAACTATGGCACAGGCATGAGGTAAACTATGGTACATGCATGAGGTAAACTATGGCACATGCGTGAGGTAAACTCTGGTACATGTGTGAGGTAAACTATGGTACATGCGTGAGGTAAACTATGGCACATGCGTGAGGTAAACTATGGCACAGGCGTGAGGTAAACTCTGGTACATGTGTGAGGCAAACTATGGTACATGTGTGAGGTAAACTATGGCACATGCGTGAATTTAATTGGCCCCCATAACTCAGAGTGACTGTCACTATTAGGAGGTGCGGCTTTGTTGGAGTGGGTGTGGTCTTGTTGGAGGAAGTGTGTCACTGTGGGGGTGGACTTTGAGGCTTCATATAGGCTCAAGCCACACCCAGTGCCTCAGTTCACTTTGTGCTGCCTGCGGATCAAGATGTAGAACTCTCAGCTCCTTCCCCAGCACCTTGTCTGTCTGCATGCTGCCATATCCAACCATGATAAAAAATGGACTAAACCTCTTTAAGCCACATCAGTTAAATGTCTTCCTTTGTAAGAGTTGCTGTGGCCAGAAGACAGAAGTTGGTACCACGACTGGAAGATTGCTATGATGGGCCTGACCACGTTTGTTTGGAGGAATTTGGACTTTGGTACTTTGGGTTAGGAAAGCAGTGGAATGCTTTCAGCACTGCTTAATGGGCCATGCCAGTAGAGGCATGGAAGATTTAAACTGTGGGGGCCTGACTCAAGAGGTTTCAGAGGGGAAGAATTTTAGTATGTTGACTAGAGATCATTCTTGTGACATTTTGGTGAAGAATGTGGCTGCCTTTTGCCCTCGTCCAAAGAGTCTGCTCGATGCTAAAATGAAAAGTTCTTGATTAATTCCATTGGCAGATGGAATCTCAAACATCCTGCCCTGCGGTTTTTCATGTTAACCATAATGAAGGCTTATAATGAGAAAGCAAGCTGAGAAAGTAAAAATACAAAATGTACAATTTGAGGAGAAAAGGATCACTAGGAAGTGGGATGGACCTGCATCCTGTGTTCAAGAATGTAAAAGGTCAGGAAATGGAATGAAGGAGTGGTGACCTCAGGATAAGATCCCACCTAGCTAAGTTTCCAACCTGCGGAGAGGAATTAAAGAAAAGCTTAGAGCTGGGTGTGGCGATGCACACCTCTAATTCCAGCACCGTGAAGGCAGATGCTGGCATATCTCTGAGTTTGAGGCCAGCCTGGTCTACAGAGCAAGTTCCAGAACAGCCGAGCTTAGGCAGTGAAGGAAAACAGAAAACAGGAAGCTGGGTGAAGA